TAAAATCTTATTTCATTGGTGTTACATAACCAAATTACAATACCATTCAAATTCATTCCGATAAGTAACGATACGATACCAGCACCATTGCGGAAGGATTTTGACACGTTTCGAACACCTCGAATGTTATTCATTTATTTATCATCGTAGGCAGTTATAATTTTGTACACTTTCTTGTACAAATAAATACTTTTAATATTTATTACGGTATTACGGTAAAGTGATTTTTTTAAAGTTTAACTGTCAACATTTTACTATTAATAAAATTAATCATGTTAATACTAAATATCATATAGTAATAATAATAATAATAAGAGTAATAATAATAATAATAGTAATAATAATAATCATCATCATCGTGGGCAGCATCGTCGTCATCATCATCAGCGTCTTCGCAATCATCATCGTCGTCGTCATCGTCATCATCTTTGTCATCACTATAAAATTTCTCTTGGGAGTCGTGTTACTCTCCCAATTAAATCTTTCATCCTTCCACTTCCAACCAATAATGCACATAGCATCACATCACATCATATCACATCCCGTCATTGGGCTTATCTCCATTTTTGTATGTACTGTTCACATGTTTGTGTTTCGCTCAGTTCCTTGTAACAAATAATATTTTGAATGAGTCTTTTAATATACTGCATGCGTCATTGTTGTTTGCGTCAAGCTGTTTAATCTTAAACGTTGCCTTTTAGTTTTAAGCTTTTACGTTTCAATCTATTTATTATACGCATCAGTTGAACAAAATGATTTTAAAATGATTGAAGATGGAAAAAAGTTCTTTGGTTTTCAATTAGTAAATATAACTAATCTAGTTAATAATAAAATGAAACACGTTGAAACATAAATCGTCCCCTATAGACAATACGAACAGGAACAACATCATACATCACAACACCACATTATAACATCTTCACAACTCCACACATTTCCAGGACCAGCCTCTCCAAGTCGCGACTTCATCATTTTCTTCCTGTCAGACTGCTTCATCTACTTAGTGCGTTTTCATGACGTTTAAAAAAAACTCTTTGCTGTTTCATTTCTACACTTATTTGAGTCTCTGTCTAAAAACTTCAATTTAGAACAGTGGCGGATCCAGAACTTCGCGATGGCTTTCAAAATTCTAAAGTTGATAACTTTTTCTTTGTTAATTTCTGTACATATTTCACCCAAAATATTGAACATTTTCTACCCTGGTTTAAAGTCATGTCAATTATGTCGACAATACGATGACAACAACTAACTTCAGTCACCCACTGAAATCGACCCAATGAATATAGTTTGAATGGTTCAGCGTTGCATTATTTGACGATGCGACAACGCTGGAGTTGCCGGAGCATTCTTTAGGTTCACTTGGTAATTTGATGCATACAGACAAATGAAGTTTGTCTGTGTCCATATTTGTCAAATCATGAAAACAGTTTTATCATTCAATTCACGAATTCTCAGATTATAACGAGTTTCATTTTTTGACTACAATCATTTGGCGAAACGTGTACATAACTTGTTGAAGATAAGTTTGGAAATCTGTTTTCATGCTCATTTCATCATATTTAACAACTAGCAAGATTAGAATCCACTGTTACTGTTGTAGAAGTAGTATTAACAGATATAAATAACAAAATTAGGAAAAGCCCGATATGAAGCAGTCCCACCTAATCCCACACCACACCCACTACACCACATCATACCACACCACCCTCCCCACACCACCCTCCCCACACCACCCTCCCCACACCACACCACACGCATGCATGCAAGTATAACAGAAACAGACATCCGAGAACACGGACTCGGTTAACCTAACGATACTATTATTATTGCAATAAAATAACAAATAAACATTTGAGTGATTGTATGTATGCGAAAACATCATCAAATGGAAGGTATGCTCTCATATGAATTGTTACATATTTAATGTGAGTTGCGTGTGTTTATGTGCATATGAGTGTATTGTATGTAGAGCGAGTAAAGTAGGTATGCAAAAATGTTGCGTGATTTATGATTGGATTCCTCAGTTCACATTATTTTATTTGCAGGTACCTACTATTGGTAGATTGAGTTTGCATTTCTATGTCATTCCTATTATTTTTTTCACTTTTGTTAAAACTCCAAATAAAAATAAAAAATAATTTATTTTATATATTATTCATTTAATATTTCAATTATCTTCTTCTATCATATATGTTTAACCGGGTTTATTACTGAGTATAAAATATACTCATTTTCAAGAAGAAATAATTTTGCTACTTGCTGTAGTCAAACACTTTAACAAATTCAGGTCATTGTATAATTTTCAACCATGAATAATCTACACAAATGATGCAAATTATCTCCAATTACAGTCACTCTAATTTAAAACCAATTTAATTTTTCAATAACTTCTTTTTGACTTCTTTTTTACGACTCACATCAAAAATTGTTTAAAGAATTTTGTATCGCTCAACGACATGGAGAGATTGATGAACTTATAATTTAGTGGCATGGATGGAATGTATGTATTTCTATTTAACACACACGTAACAGACTGGAGTTTTTTTTCTATAGAGGCAGTGTAGATGATGATGAAAATGATGATTGATACATGTTAAGTTGTTTATTCCCCTACTGACTGGATAATAATAGGCGGAATGATGCATGGCTTGTTATTAACTTAATTGGATGTTGATGGATGACACCATTCTTTTCTAGCGGCTTATTGCCTTGGCTTATTCAACATACCTCACGTGTGCAATGGAATGCATCTCTACATACATTAAATTATTTTAATTATTCTTATCAATCCATTGTTTGCTGTGTGTTGCGAAACATTCCTTATATGTAAATCTTACATAGTGGGAAAATTATAAAAAAAAATTAGACATGCTAAGCGTTAACAACGGTACATACTCAAGCAAAGAGAAAATTACATCTGTACAATCGATAAGTTTGTACTTACATTTTAAAAACTATGAACGTTGTTTAATTAATCTTGTTTAAATAGCAATAAAGTTAAATCTTCTATTAATGACCAGCTAAGACTTAAAATGAATCGAATTGCAGTTCATTATTAATTTGATTCATAAATTTAAAACACGTTACGAAATTATTTTAATGACTTTGTTGCGCCATACACCCTCATATGGAGCAGATATTGCTCTTGGGATGGAATACTTTTTTGAGTGGAAATTACGGGACAACAGCAATCAATGTGTATCGCATAAACGTGATACTTCAAAAGTCATCCAAACTTCCACAAATAATGATATTTCACAAGGCATAATATTCCATAATCCCAAAACGAACTATCTGAAACTTTAATTTATTTTCATAAAGATCTTATCTTCTCACATCATTTCACAAATCTTTATTTTCATATTCGAAGTGATGCATGTACGCAGGAACTTATGAACACACACGCACCTCCTGCAATTCTGACGAATAATAAACACACACGCACACACACACACAAGCACAATTTTAGCACATAAATATACTCACATAAGTAAACAGACTGGCGCATCTCCTAAACAATTACGTCGACAATTTGACATAATTATACTGTTGTGTGCCAATTTGCTTAATGGTCTGCCAGATGTAATAATCATAGCCGTTATATCAACGGAGCACATTATTTCGTGTTATTAACAAAAGCCTTGGAAACAATTGAAATACACGTATCGTAAAAATGTTTGACGATACAATCATAATTTTGGCAAAGTTTTACTTTAGAGTATTTAATCACAAATTTTAAAATAATTTTTATAACTATTGTTATTTAACATACTTAGGTAAATGTTGTTCAAATGTTAGTTAACAGCACTTTCATACGAGTAGTAACAACTAACATAACTCCAATTAGTGAAATAAAATTCTTGAAAATATCTATTTCACATATCTCTGAATCTGAACTAATCAAATGTATGGCACGCACAGACACCCACCCTCCATTGCATCGAGACACAGCGGGCAGTTTTTGTATGAAAGTCTTCGGCTCGTTAGCTATGGTGCCATGGTGCCACGAACATGCACTAACGTAATTACTGACATTTATAACGTGTGGGTGACTTTTATAACATTTATTCGAATGCTCATTAAGACAAAAAAATTTATTGTTGAATAAATTACATACACTAAGGTACATAGCTACGCCTTTAACCTGAACTTTTGCGTCATTAATTTTTTATCTTGGCTGTTGTGGATACAATTATCTTGAGGTTCCCTCTAAGTAATAAGTATATGCTCAGCAAGGATCAATGGATGCGCGCTTAAGTGGAGTTTACAATCAGAAGAATACACTATCACAAATTTTTTAAATCAGTTAACTAACCGATTTCAAATTTATATAAATCATTTTGAGTTAAGCGCTAAAGACGATTTTAAAGCAGTAAACCAGACTAAGGCTACTTCGAAACTGGTGGGTAATCGAATTTAGTAAATTACGTGAAGAAATAAATTGATATTCGCTACAAATTTTTTGAACTAAAATTATGCACGAACTTAGTTATATGGCTTAGTCTTCGGTAGGATGTCGAACGCACATCGGCGCATTCCCAATAGGTTCGCTAGGAGCTGTTGGCAGCCGATTTATGAGCTGCCAGCGTTGCCATAAAACTCGCACTGCCACTGCCTACTTGTCGCACTACTAGACCCCTTCCGCAATGCCTACCACTGTTTTCACTAGGCGTCAGTGGACAATTATTTTAAAACGTTTACACAAAAACCACTTGTATCCGTTAGTTTACAAATTTGAAGTCCAACAAGCTACCGTTAGAAAGATTTTCAATTTTTTTTATGTTAAAAGTATTATCGAATTTTTTGTTGAATTTCGTTCATAAAAATGCATTGTTCGTTAGTAAATTAACAATATAACTGTCAATCGAAAAAGAAGACAAATTTTAATGGCAAAATAAAAATTTTTTTTTCAGTGAAATCGTTTATTTTATATTTCAACTATCTTAACATGTAAAATAATTAAAATTATTCAAATTTTGCAAAATTGATTTTTGAACAATTCATTCATTTATTACATTCAAAAGAAGTTCACGATCAACATGATTTCCAAACTCTGATTCTCTGTGTTCTAACAAAATACCTTTGTCACCTGGTCCAATCACAAACAATCCCCCCAATAACCGACCTTCACCTTCGGTGTTACCTGACACGTGCTTTCTCTTCGCTCTGATCAGAGAAAGCCAGACAGAAGGTCTTAACAAACCAGCCAAAGACATCCATCTCTCCTTAGGTCCATAAAATTTACGTTCCGGATCCAGAAAAACTTCGCCGTCAAAAAAATTGCGAAATTCCTCAACACCCATTAATTCATGGACTACTGCAAACAAAGAAAAGTTTTTGTCATTAAATTTTTGCTTTAATTTTGTTAATTCAGCTGCTTCTTCACGACACAAAATGCATCCAGGCCTCCTCACAACCATGATCACCGCTCCTCCATCTTTCCACAGTTCTGACGCTTTGAACGATCCACCATCATCTGACCCATCAATTTTCTTTAAATTTATATTTTTTAGATATTGAATCGTTGCTTTTTCATGACTACCGCTGGTACTGCTATCCATGACGAAGTAAAACGATGCAGATAGAACGAGAATTAGAAAAGCAATTACGTAATAAAACATCGATCAACAAGGTTAAAGTTGGATTGTTAGATATAGGTGTCAAGTCAGGTATATATAAAATAAAATGTGTTTTTTATAGATAATTTTTAAGTTAAACATTTAAAGTTTAAACGAAATATGAGCTCACGCATGACAACACAAATTTTAATTAGGGAAAAAAATTAATAATGAAGTAAGAGCTGTTATAATGGTGACAACTATTTAATTTAATTTAATGAAATATGAGTTTTGATACGATGATGACAACAAATATCTAATGCGCGTTAATAGCCATTACATAACCAACGCATACACTTGAAACCGATGTAACCACTTTCCGAACTTTTCGAACCCTAATCGTAAACAAATGTGAATACTTTAAAGTTTAAAACTAAAAGTAAACTTGATTATGAAAAATTAATCTTCAGTGATGATCTGCACACATTTACTATATTTACTTGATCGGAAAATAGTCTACGTATATCCTAATCTACAAAATCATCTTGCCATTTAAAAATGTTATGATTGCCAGTATCGGGAAAATTTTGTACCCGCTAACAAGTCATAATATTCATCTACTGTTTGATGAATACTTGTGTGGAATAAAAAATGAAAGTGTGACATCAACTTAGTTCTTACTTTCAGTAAACTTTATAATGAGGCAATTACGATCAAGTGATTCCAGTTTTTAATATCATGCCTTAACTTCAAGCATATTGAAGAAGATATTCTATTTTTCATTGATTAGAGAAATATTTAAAGTGAATTATTTCAAATTATGACAGCTGTTATTGTCTTTTTTAATAGAACTTTTATAAACTTCCACTTTGTCATCTTCATAAATCCACGTAGCAGGGTCTTTCAGAACACCCGCTGCTTTGAGTTTTGAATTATCGCTTAGTTTTTTTTCAAGCGTCGGGTCATAAGGAATGAAAACATTGTCTTCACATTTATAAAACCGTTTATGCTTGTCATTCAACCCGGTGTTTGAGAAGGAATATGTTACGATTCTACTTTTTTGAGGAGCTTCGCATTTTACGTTATTGATGCCAACAGTTTTTGATGGTTTTATTTCATATGACACTTCGGTGTTTATGCTTGATGATGAAAGTGTTTGAAGCTGGACATTCTTCATGCCAATCTGTTGTTTTTCAACGCTTTTGTTCAAGGACTCCCAAGTTAGCACTTTTTCTTGAATAGAAGAATTGGTATCGTGGTTTATTGTTGATTGCTGGTCTTTGTGTCGATTCTTCTCGGGAAGCTCGATGTTTTGTTTCTTTGAGAAGCCCGTCACCGGTGAATCATGTTTGTTTGTGAAATCGTTTTCATTTGACAAGCGCATGCTTTGTTTGGGTACGTTATGTTTTACTAAATGTTGGGAGTATTGGTTGTTTTTAAAAAAGTGTTTGCTATAGTGTTCACTACTTTGGTGGGGCTGGGAACTATAGGAAGTTAATTTATCTCCACTCTGATTATTGATTTTGCTTCCGGATTCAAATATTGCTCTATACGAAGTAGATTTGTCCACTAAAAGTTTTTTTGGTTGAACAAAATTAATATTTTGTCCTGAAATTAAATCTGTTTCAGTTTGTTTTGTTTGCGTGCCGCACTGTTTTAAAACACATCCATTTGCGTTATCTAATTGCTGCAATTTTAACATTTGGCAATTCATTTCTCTGCATTGCGTTTCATTTCCATTTTGTCCCAATCCAACTATCAAAAGACTTGAAATTGGGCTTGTGTTTTTGTCACAATAGCTTGTTGACAAAACATTTTGTAAAGTAACATTGTTTAATTGTTTTTGACTTTTTATCGATTCGGTGAAATTAGTGCTTGATTTTTGTGTATTTTCAGCAATAATTTTTTCACTTGGTAGTTTTGACAAAAATTGATAAGATTTCGCCTGATTGTTTGACGTCTCTTCCTCATTTTTAATGTAAACGTTTGTTTGCTGATTTACTTCTCCAGTAACTTTATCCGTTAAAATATTTTGATCTGTAGTCTTATTTCTATGTTTATCGTTGACTGTATCTTTTCCATTAATTGACAAAGATTTTAAATCAATTTCAGTCGAAAGACCGGATAATTTTTCGTTGACCCTATCGATATCCTGTCTCTGCATGCCGTTATCCAAAGTAGTAATTGGCATAATATTTTTTTGCTGATTTTCCGATGTCAAAGTCAAATTATTATCTTTTTCACATTTTATTTGTATGTTTTTAATAGCTGCGTTGCTTGCCGATAGGGAATTTTTAGCTCTCAATAGATTACATTTATTTGAACTTAACCTCTCAGTAAAATCTTTATAATTTTTGGTTAAAACTTTATATCTAATTGGTCGCATTTCATTGTTGACCGTTTCAATTTTTTTATTTAAATCCATTGATAGTAATTTTTGGGTTTTTTCGCTGACATTAACGCTTTTATAATCAACATCAATACCACCGTTTCTTACCTTTGGATTATATATTGTAAAACTATTTTCTGATAAGTCATTTTTTGTTACTTGGTCATAGGAAAAATCAAGCTGCTGATTAGATTTCTGGAAGCAATCTTTTAGTTTAGGATGCGGTCGCAATCTTTTTAAATTGTTGAAAATACGATCTTGGTTGTTGTAAGTTGCACTTTTTTTGCAAATTGGCTGAATGTTATTCAAGTTTGTGATGCAGTAGTCCATGTTTTTGTAGATATCATTTCTACCGTCTAAGGACGAGTTCTCACGATTGCTTATTTGAAATTTTTTTAAATCAAAATTATCATTGTAACTGAGATCACCAGACCTAACTAAATAATCATTTTTTCTTGCAAACGGTGGGCTCCATACATTGACAACATCGTTCTCATACCATTTCTCGTCTCTTTGGCTAGATTTTAATGGAGGTTTTAAGTTATAATTTTTCACTTCAAACAAATCTTTAAACTTTTTGTCAAAATTTGTCACGCAATCATTCTCTGATGGTTTTCTAACTTTGAAAACATTTCTAATACTGCTGAATGATGCTACGGGCGGATTTGAACCTTCTGATGACTCCCAATTTCTGCTTTTAGTACCAAATGTACCGTTATCAAAGCTCAAAGTGTTGTTTACATCTCGAACAGTAGAAAGAGCATGAAACCTTTTTTTTAATAATAAACGATTGAATACAATAAATTGCATGCTAAACATATATAAACTCAAATTTTGAAGTTTAATTACTTGTAGATGTCAAAGATAAGATCTCGGCAAGTTTCATCAACGGCTAACCACTCATACCTATCTAACAAAGCTGTTAAATGCGTTGGATCTATTTTTTCAAAATTCACATAGTTCAGTAAATCTCTTGCGTGATCTATTCTTTTGATACGATCAAAATCAATCCATTCTACCACTGCTTCCATCAATTTAAGGTCAAATGTGTCAAAGTTTTTGTTCTTTAAAATTTCATGCAAGCGGTCGAACGGTAGAAGATAAAAGTGTGGGTGGGAATGAATTTCATCAAAAGACTTTGCTATTACTGTTAAAAGTTGTTCTTTGATTTCTTCGAGTTCATTATTTGCCGCCACTGAGTAATGGAGAATAATGTTTTCTGCATCAGCCGCTTGCACTAGATAATCACTACATACATCTAAAATTATAGGCAGATCTAATTGTTTGGCACACAGCACAACATATTCAATTACACGACAGTTTAGACGCAAATCTGTTGTGTAAAGAAAATTCAGCACTTCAGCTAATACTTCTTTTGGTATTTGAAACATGTTGATCGTTGCAGTTTTTTGAATTTGCATTTGAGAAAAAATATTGGACAACGTTGGGCTGTAGGCGCACAAAACAACTTGATGGGTCATTATTGCCCCACCTATGGCATTTATGATAACATCGCACATAGCTTGATTGAGCCACATCCGATGCAAATAAAATAGTAACTGCCTTGTTTTTTGATTGTACGCGGTGTCGTTGAAATCTGCTGGCTTGTCTGTATGAAAAAGTTTTTGTATGAGAACCGATGTCGGAATGAAATCATAATTTCGACAACAGGAAGTGGCTCTTCTGGGAGTAAGTATTGGTGTACACTCGAATTTTTTGTTATTATCATTGCAATTTAAATCAACTTTATTAATTTTTTTGTTAAAAAATAAATTTGATGGTTTTTTGAATATATTATCGCTAATTGGTTCAAAATAAATGTCACCTTTTGATGTTATTTTAGGCATTATTTGCAGCTATATACGTATTTAATTAATATAATGTAATTAATTGTAAACCTATTAAAAAACGATCAAGTTAATACCATAATTAACAATAACTTCAACTACAGTATACAATTTTATTATCGCTTATAGTGTTTATAATAAACGTCACTCATCGTTTTGGTCGAATGCTTTGTTTGTTTTGTGCAGATTTCCGGCGTTTCAGCCCAAATTGGCTATCTTTACGCCTTGTCTTCTCTTATTTTTCTCTGTTCTTAATATGGCTGTACCTGTTGCTTCATTCACAATCTGTCAATCAATTTTGTATTCATGCTAAAAGCCATTAAACTGTATGTATTTGAATTATTGATAAATATTTCTTCCATGTTTGTTGGTATATTATGTTCTATTCTTTGTTTTTTATATTTTTTGCTTTCTGTGATTGTATGGGAAATTTTTAGTTTGATTCCACAGATGTTACAAATTGGAGGTGTTTTTTTTTCAAGAATCCATGAGAGTGCCATTTTGTATGGCCGATTTGTACTCTGTTCAAGATCGTTTGGAATCTCCTTTCGAGTAGCATTTTTTGGACCTTGTAGAACGATATTTGGAGTTGTTTTCTTAAAGAATCTGTTGCTGCTATTCCATTCATGTTGCTTGAAATGCTTAAATTTTTTTATATAGACATATATAGAGTACACACACACACACACACACACACACACACACACACACACACACACACACACACACACACACACACACACACACCACACACATGTTTATATATATATATAGTATATATAGAGTATATATGAAATTTTTTATATATGTGTATATAGACAGACAACACCACAGATAATTGGGATCAGTGAAATATTGATAGGAATTGAAATAATGTTTTCAGCATGAACGTTGACCTTAGAGTGTTTGCGTCGTTATTCTATAGGATTTAGTTTTTTAAGATCTATTAAGCTCATTGGGTCTCGACTCTCCATTCATGTGTGATTTCACTGGTGCTCTTGCTTCCAGTGAAATTTTTAATGGAAAGAATACGATTGAGCAATACTAGTATAAAATATACAATGGTTGGAATCAATATCTTGATTTCCTTCAAATGTACGAAAAATTTATAAGACGGCCTAGTTTTTCTAGTTTTTATATTTGCACACTGATATATCTCATCTCAAATTTGGTTTCCTTAGTTTCTATAACGATAAAAATTTATAATTTTACAGTTCTTATGTATGTTTAAAGTCAACTTCAAAGTTTTACATTTTTCAATTTTGCTGACATGTCCAATTTTTTTAAACGAAGAACTTATCGATGTAAGGAGTTTTTGTATTATAAAATCAAATAAAACATATAAGGAATAAAGCGCATGAAATAATAAAACCGTATATAGAATAAACCCTATATACATCATATATTATTATATATATATCTATACTATTCAACATAGAATAAAAGGAATAAAATATAAAACAAATCAAAATTTAAAATAACTTGAAGACATCGTTACAACATTTCGTTTCGTTTGCACCTTCATAGACGTTCTTTGTAAACTATAGTTCGAATTTGAAGTTTTGCCTAACCTCTGCTATTGTTTTATTCTAATTAAAGCTCAGTTGTCGTATGACATTTTTCCCTTTTTAATTTTGAAAAATTACACTTCCGAATTGCTGCAACATTTGGCCATCACAACGTCGCTGGTTATTATTTATTTGAATATTTTTTTGGTGTAGATAATAATATTATCTAGTTATATTATCAAGTTATATTATCATAATATAAAATATTAAATATACTATTAGATTATAGAATTAGTATTAGATAGTTGTAATTAGTTTAGGTGTATAAGACTTATTTATACTATTAAGTATACTATTATTAGTAAGAAAGAGTAAGTTAAATTAAAAAGTATAAGTTACTTCAGTCACAAGTAAGTAGTTCTTAGTACTGGTAGTACAAATAAATACAGAAGTTGTTGTGTAGTAGAAGTATAGTATTTTATACAATACTACAGTAGTACTTACTTTTACTAATAAATAATAAAAATATTGCTGTATTGGTTTGTACTGTAGTTACTTATTTCTCAAACCAAAATTAACTCACTCGGCTCTGGGTCACTCAAATTGAGACTGATGAAATCTTAAAAAAAAACCTTTTTTTGAATAAGGATTCATTATTATATTATTCATCTTATACCAAAAATGTTTGTTTAATTTTTATTTAATTAAAATGTTTAGATTCACCAAAATGGATTATCGTCAGAGAAGCTTAACTGAAGAGTTTCAAGGCTTAGCAACTGTCGATTTGGACTACACAGCTCAGATAAGCATGCAAATGAATGTCCCTGATCGAATTTATCCAGTAGCAAAAAAGCAAGCTCCCGAGAGCATCCTGTTTGACAGGGGAGACATGAACTTATCTGAACAGATGATCATTCCAGATAGGATAATGCTGCATGGTATTTATAAATAAATGTTCATATATTTTAGTTTAAACCGATGAAATAATAAAAGATGCACATGTGTTTAACTTGTCATTACGAGTAAGCATTTTGTAGACAGTTTCTTAATTTGCTCAGCATTTTGTTGAGCATTAGTGTTTGTATTGAGATGTTTGTATGTTCTGTTCTGCTTGAATGATCACTGGCCATTTTATCTCACATATTGTCATTGTTTTTAGTTATTTATTTTTCTAACTTTGTTTAAGAAACAATATTTAAGATGTTGTTTCATTATTTTAAATGGCATGATTCTTGTTTTTTATCATTTCATCTAAGTTTATTTTGTTTAATTTATTTTGTCTAATGTTTTATCATCTCAAGTCATTTGTCTTATGCATTTTTAGTAAATCTTCCATTTTGTCTAAATTTTTTTGTCTAATTGATTTCGTATAAAGTTCATTTTATCTAACTAGGTTGGTTATTCAGATTTTGAGTTCTATATTTGAAGAGTTAACAACTTTTAAACCAGAATGATGTTTTTATGTAGGGCAAAACAGTGGTGCTGAGAACGACATCCATGATAGGCCAATGAAGAACATGGTTGATGATCTGCACCTGAATGTTCAAACTCCTCCAAAAATCATCAGCTTGCTTGAAAGTAACTTTCCTGTGTTATCAGAGTTCACTGAAAAAACGTTGAATGCCGTCAACAAGTTTGTTTCACAAATCATCCTTCATCATTTTATTATTTTTATGGTTTTTTATACAGTGTTGCTCAATTTTATTTTCATTAGCAGCAATTTATACTGTACATAGTTGTGGTTATTAAAACAAAATGATATCAGCATTTCTCTATTTCAATTTTTATAATTAATTTTGCTCTTGTGTTTGCTTACGCTTTAAATTTGCTTTTCTGGATTTATGTTTATCTACATATGCTTGAGTGTAGTGGCAAGGCTCAAATCATGAAAACAATGCAGTATCCGTTAGGTGCCTCCAAATTAATGGAGCTGCGGTTACTTGAAAATTTTTAAGTTTTTGTAGTTTTTTCTAAATTGTCAATAAGTTAAACGAAATAATATGTTCAGATATTAGTTTTTGCAATAGGTTTTACATGGATGTATGTTCGACATTTTTTTTCTCTTTAGATTTAGCGTTCATAGTGGTTCATTATTTTAATTTTCGATTTTTTAACTTGAACTTTTCAGAAAACTAACAGATCAGCAGAATCTTCAGAAACAAATTGACGTGTTGTCTCGACAAATCAAATTGCTTGAAATTCAAAACCAAAGCAGACTTCACAGAGAATTAATTTTTTACCCTTTATTAATTGGTTTTGCCGTTTTTCACGTCGCTCGATATATTTTGTATAAAAATTGATATGTAATTATTTAAAAGTTTTTTTCATTCATTGTAATATTTTGTCTACGTTAAAACAATCGATTCGGAGATGTCTGACATTTTATTATTGTTGAATGTTATGTTATTTACACGAACGACATTTTCCTTATTTTCAGGATTTCATTTGGTAGGTAGTATGTCGGTAGGAATTTATTTTTTGATTTAGACGTCAACTTCTAATGAATTTTGATGCGACGTTGCATGATTCTGCATGTTCAACACAAAAACATATTAAATGAATTAACATTTATGTTTTCTATTCAAGTGATGTCCAACGTATCAAATTATTATTTATTGAATATATTCGATGTCCAGGTCAGACTTGGACGTTTGTTGTGAATGACCTCTCTGCGAAACAGCTTTTGCACTCGTTTGCTTGGGATATCGGAAAAGAACAAACGCGGTTAGTGATCAGCCAATCAATATGGCAAGTTTTCTTTCTACCAATTTGTTTGTTTTGGTGGTCATCACAGACGTATTTGACGAAGGGTAAAGGTTCAACTAATCAAATGGCAGAATGGAATCGCTTAAAAAGTATCAGGATTGAAGCATATAATGAGCAGTGAAGTGCCGCTACTTTCGATCCGCTTCCTGTGACAACTGAAAATTATTTAACGATTAATAAATGACTTTTGTTGAAATTTAATTGTACCTCACCAGTAGATGTTTTTTTCTTGGAAAGCACTAAGGTGTTGTTTGATATATTTTGAAGCGAATGTTTTCTTCTGAATTTGTAGTTGACCCACGTTGGCTCCGGGTTGGATATTTGTTTCACGCGTCTCGAGTAAGTTACGGTGACTACGCTGTTGAATGCGCTGTATACGTAACTGTATCTTTGGTTAACGTTCTCAACCATCTCGGAAATGCAAAAGTTTTTAACGTCCAGATCTCCGTCCGTTAACGACACACTTTCGTTGCACGTTTCATTTTCGTGGCTCCTGTGAATTTGTTTCTTCCAATTTGATTGTGCATAAACTGGTAAATTATGTTTTATTATGTGGATCGTTTATGTTATTGTTATTAATTATATTTGCCTTATAAGTTGTTCACGCAATATTTGAGAAAAATGGTTTTACTTTCACTTTAGTCAAACGTCGTATCAATAAAATTAGCTTTTATGAATATGACTTACCTTTGTCTGTAGAACACATTCAACTGAATGACTACTTGCATATCGATTCCTTCATTTGATGTTTCACTGACGAATATGTATCTGCACTTGGTGGAAGTAGGAATGTAATAGTCTGGTGTGTGAAAGTCTCCAGACGATGTCTGCCTTGAGTTGAAAATCCAGTCGCATTCGCTGCCGTCAACTCTATCGGCCATGTCTGGGCTGTCTACATTTATCGAATGCAAGATAAAATAATTTTTGAGCTAGCTGACCTGAATGACCATCGCAATCATTTTTGAAAGGTTAAAATTACAAATATTTTTGTTATAACTTGAAACGCCGTTGCCAAAATTTGTACACTTACATTTCCATCTTTCGAATGCTTGGAAGATAAAAGTATTGACGTTGTGGAGCTGATGATGAGAATGCTGACGGTGAAGTCTGATTTGGGGGTGATGATGATGGCGATGACGATGTTTCTGCAAATCTTGCCGGCGATTTAATTGAAATGGTTGACGCCACGAGGTGACTTTCTCAACGCTGACTTCGTTCTTAGTAGACTGCTGCTGAACAGAGTTGAACTTCAACAACATCGAAGCACCTGTGTTATACGATTATTAAATGTATTCACTTTGGTTATATTGATGAATACAATTTTAATTGAAACGGGTTAATGATATTTCCAAATGTATTGAAACGAAGTTCAAATTGTTCTTGCCGTGTTGCACTTTTTCTACAAATTTTTGTTAATCTGATTGACGATTCTGTTCATTATTTAATTAATCTTTAATCAACAAAAAGTATTGAGTCAGTTTGATGATGTTTACAAAATTAACAAAATCAAATTGTTATTTTGGATCATGGTAATTAAATAGCAAATTAATTATTTGAACTTTTTTTATATTCAATTCAAGAAAATAAAATCAACTTCAACTGCCTTTTGAAATAAAGTTAATAGTGTTTCCATTAGTTTCATTATCAGAATCCAGTTTTACTACGCAGAACTTTTCTACGAGGCTTTCCGATGCTTCGTAACCGTCATAAATTTCAACTAGTGAGGCATTTTGGCATGCATTCAAACTGAGATTTTTTTAAACATTAAATGAATGAAATTGTTTTTATAACCAGTCATTTATTACAAACCTGGGACTGAGTTGAAGAAGAACGCTAGGAAATTTCAGCTCGATTCTGAAATCTTCAAAACTGATGAATAGATAAGTGCACGAGTGATTGAAAAGTAGAACTTGACTTGGAGACATTACCGGGCATGACCCTACACATTCACCCACTGGAATTATCCAATCGCAAACTGCGTGTTTAACATTTTTTTATTTCAATTTTTTAACCTTATATTAAATTAAAGAGTTTGTATTCTTAAATGGAACGTCAGAAATTAGACGACAAGAATGTTTATCCCATAAAATTAACGGCTCGCATCTATGAATTTAAAATGTGCTTTCAAACTGCTCTGAAATAAAAACTGTCTATACTTACTCAGGCTGACACTTTTCGTTTAAAAAATGTACAAACTATTTAATCATTCAAATGCGGCTAGAATAACAATAAACCACCGTCAGTTTATACGATGTTACAAGGAATATATACTCACACCTACATAGTAATATATTGACCGCTGAAGGAAAATAAACTCACGCTGACTTATAACAAATTATAATATATTATTTATTCAAAAAATATAGAGGTTAAAAAATTGTTAGGCATCAAAGCAAATTATCTTTCACCTTATGAATGATTCAATCTCATCCGCTAACAAATTTCTTTCCTTATTAAGTTTGAAGTTATTATTGATAATACCAATCCATCAATCTAATTCATTTTGTTGGAAAATATTTTTCAAACACCAAAAATGATTTTTTCTCCACCATCGACGTTGATACAAATTCATTTTTATTCAATTTTTAATATTTGGTTTGTTTGACGCTGATATAAAGGAAACAATGCAACATCATTGAGAAATGCGAGCGCTTTCATTCCATGGGACTGCATCCATGAAACGAAATTGAAATTTACAATTATTTTTTATCGCTTCGTCAACATCTGTTCAAGTCGCGTAATGCGAACAACCGTGAAATAAAAAAAAATTTGATTTGTGAACAAAAAAAAAACAAAAAAAACAAGTAAACATTTTTATTATAAGTTGAAGATCAACAAAATATTGTTAATTAATGTGCACTGCACGTGTTGTGTAGCCTTGCATCTATGGACATCTTTATAACATACTTATATATGTTTCCTATATAGAAGTCTATTGGTCTACCCCTTTGTCTATGCAAATGTCTATAGACATTTGTTATCATTTTAATTGAATTGACATATGTTGCAATGTGATGATATAGAAGAGAGTGTTATAATACCTTAGGCGGTATTTTTATATTCTGAGAAATGTGTTATAAGTGTATATATGGTATATTAAACAATAAAGTGTTAAAATCTGATACGCAGGATTCACTGGATATATGTTATAATGTGTTATATGAGTAACATTGAACAGACCTACCTGTGTTATCTTTCAATCCTTCAGTCCTGTCCACGTGTCCGTATGGCAAATATTGTTCATCATCGTCCTCTTCATAATGATTAATAATAATCAAAAGTTGTATTTAAATTTATATATAGTTAATGAAAAACATACATCCATGCTACGTTTTGTATGTTAGATTGCTCGTTGATGAACTTATCTTAAGAACTATTCTTTAACATTGCCGTTGAGTAATGCATTTCACAGATTACAAAGTAAGAGATATCTTAATTTTGTTTGCTAGAATATTTGCAATGATATAATCATTAAATATTAAACACCTTTTATAACAATAAAACATTTTATATTCAAAATAAATAAACCATTGTTGAGAAAAAGTTCATCGCTATCGTTGGCATTCTTGTATGCATAATCAATGTCTTCGTCGTTATTGTATTTCTTTTCATCTTCCGCTTGGTTACTCTTAGTTTGATGTTCTATGCGGTTGTGCTTGTGCTGATGATGTTTGTGAGGCTTCTTAGTAGGCAGCCAACGTTTGTGGCGAGTCTCATAATGCCGAATTGTCGTCGGTTGTTTTTTCATCCTTTGATGGAGTGTGCTCAGACAAAAGCTTTCAATCTTAATACAATGCGGCTTTGTTGATGTTTGCTGCTCGGCAGAATTTCTCGTTAGCATTGTTGTTGTTGTTGTTGTTGCTTTTGTTGAAGGCAAAGGAGTGTAAAATATTTTCTGTTGTAACTTTATGGCTTTAAGTCCATGTCCTTCCAGCTGCTTTCCATGCCAGTGACGACTCCATCGAATGCAAAAGCGAATGTCACAACAGAGGTAGCTGGGATGATGATCCGTAATTAAAAATAACTGACAAGAACTATCACTTTATAAATAATTTTAACTAAAGAAATATTTCAGAAATTTTTTTTTGACTCAAAGTTAATGTTCAAATAAAATTTACAAAAATTACCCAAATCCTGCAATTTGAGCATAATTCGCATGTTCACAAATCTTTTTCTTGCTGAAATCTTGCTCTAAAAAAAATAAAAATAATTTAGTATGTTTGGCTTTTTACATTAAATTTCAATTTTATTATTCAGATTAGTTAAATTCGTATAAAATGTGTTTGCATTTCATCCTAACTGATATATTCAAATGAAACCAAGCAAACATTTTGAAACAAGCTATGTTGTTTGAAAAGCATAATGCTAATGAATATTGATGGAACAGAAAGAGTCTTTGACGTGTAATAAGGCATGACAATTTATTGAATTCCGCCGTCACAAAACAACAATGATTCCATCAGTTGCCGCGAAAATGTCATTATTTGATGAATATAAAATATTTTCTCCCATCAATCTGTATTTATTTTTTTTTTAAATATTTTAAACAAAGTGTGTCTGTAAAAAATCATTGAAAAGCGCGATGCTTTTTAAATTTCTCTTCCCATTTCAACTCATTTTTCATCTCGTTGATAACAATTTTTGATGTTTTAAAAAAATAACAAAAAACACATTTTAATATTTTTCATTCAAATTGTTTGTATTTTAATCTTTCTGAATAATTTGAAAAGTGTAAAACATTTATACAAAAGATTGGTCAGTTTGAAATTGATTGAATGAATTGGCAAAATATTTATGCTTGTCACAAGCGCTACTAAATGTCGTGCAGAAAAGTTATTAGATTGCTGTTCATTGTTCAGATTTTTAAACGGACACATTTAAATAACTATTATAAAAGCTGGAAAGTGTCAAGTTTGTTGTGATCATGTGACCAATCATTTATTTTGTAACATTCCGACCATAAAAACTCTGCTATGAGGCTTTTTTTTTTACAAAAATATTGCATCACTTTCGCGGAATGTTTCATGTTGTCTTGCTTCTTACAGCTCCCTTCATTCAACGCCATTAGAAGCATCCTGAAAATCATTTTGAAGTAACAACTTTTTGTGAAACAATTTATGTCTGGCAGGATGATTTTACATTTTTTAATGAAATTGTTGGCTTTAGGCGTATTTAGCATCTAAAAAAGAAAATGTACATATATACATATATAAACATGCACAAATATGTATAAAATAAAACTGTATATTGTAAACTGCACATTTATAAAGATGCAACACCACCAAGCAACCAAGGAAAAAGCTATCGCACAGAGCAGTGCAGAAAGCAATTAATGCGATATCTGACGTTGAGTAATTAGAAGCCCGATAGAGATAAGTTCAGTTCGTCTTATTAGTAGCGGCAATCATATTCACATTGGCGCAATTCAATTGATTGCCTGACCACCAAGCGATTGAATTATTTTGTGAGACTTGCAAGGATCAATTGCGATAAGGAGATCCGTGTACGTCGCGGATGCAAATCTGCCTTCGTTAGGTGTTTTCGGCAAACAGTTTTGAACAAACAAAGTGGACAAACGAAGTGAACAAACAGATGAATAAATGAAATAATAAATAAATGAAGTAATGGATGAACAACAACAAACAAATGAGTTAATGAATCCATAGAAAAATGTATGAACGAGTGAATGAGTGAAAGAAGGAATGAATGCTTGAATGCATGACTAAAAAATAATGGTATACGATTGAGACAACATAAATGCTAATATCAAAATAACCATTTAAATAAATTAATACAAATGAAACCTAGAAAAAATGTAGATAATATATAATCAGTTATTAACAAATATTTAGCATCAAGAACCTTTTTGTGGCACATTATGTGACTCACGACATTTCGTATAATTCCACACCAATGCAATCAGCGGTAGTATTATTATTCTTTAAAATATGTATAGATGGAAACTTGTTTGCAACTGTGAATGATAAGCAAAAAATGTCTGAAAAATAATTTCCAGTGCACCCTCAGGCAAAAAGAGTTTCCCATTTTTATCTAATTTTAAATGATTTTATGTCTTGCAAACGTCAGTTTCGAGCAAACAACGGACAAATTTTGCATGAAACTCGAAACAACATAACTAGACTGTATGTTGCGACTTCAATGTTTTTTAATACGATAATAAATAATTAAAATATCACCAATAAATAATTTTGGACAAAATATCAAACGCTATAAACTATTTCAAATATTTGAAAGTCATTTTTAAAAAATTAGGTATCAGTCCTTCAAAAGCGAGGCATACAACCTTGTCACTCGGTTTTTAATTTCACGATTTTTATTAATTATTTTCAAATATATTATTTGTGTTTCAATAATTACTTACACACACATACACAAACATACCACGAGCACACACACACAAACACACACACAAAAACACACACACAAAAATACACATACACACACGCATACACAAACACATAAAATTCCTATTCATACTAAATTTCATCCTACTCAAAATGTCAAACTTCAAGGAACGTTACTAATAACAACCAGTCGATGTTATTTTGTGGCTTTCATTTGTGTCAAATTCACTTTTGAACTTTCACATACCGACAAAAATTAAGCTTCATAGATTAGTTTGTAAAATTTCAATAAACTAAAGTAGTTCGAATCGTCAAATAAAATAACTCTGTGTTTGATTTAAATACTTCAAACATTAATTCATTATTATATTTATGGTAAATTTTTTATGTTATGTAAATTTTTAATTAAACAATCATTCAACTAGTTATTTTTCTTCAATCGAACGAACGTTCAACACTTTATTTTCTAATTTTAAGTATAATAATTTTTTGTCTAACCGATGGATAATATAGAAAATATTTAGCTGGCAAATATTTATTATCGGTAAGGAAAACTTTTGGGGGTTTACTTTTTAAAATCCTTCCTACTTCAACTTTGTATCAACATTTTCTGTCGTACAAATTTAACGCTCCATATCCTTAAATTTACGTAATAAAAAAAAGAGAGTGTATGTATTTTTTTTATAAATATACATCGGTATTCAATGTTTGTTTCATTTCATATATTTATGGTGAACATTTTCTTAGCTACTCAACGTAACGTGAAAGTTTTTAATTTATTAATTCAATCAATGTATCATTCACTTGTTTATTGCAATGTCTCTTCCCAATGGGTCAAACGATCGATCGATCAATCAATCATCCGATCGAACATTCATTTATTTACTCACTCATCCGATCGTTCATTCCTCACTCACTAATTCATTCGTTCGTTCGTTTGTTCATTCATTCATTCGTTCGTTCATTCATTCAATCAACCGTGTAGTTATGACATTTGCGGACGACCGGCAGTGAATTGTTGATTGATTTAAATAAATCGATACCACCACCACTACCACAACCAACACCACCACCACCCCAGTAATTCACGTTACCTTCCCCTTCTCACAAACACGAGCAGATGATTTTTTCCAACCAGAATCTGGTTCATGATGAACAAATAAATTTATACTATATTCTTATATTTATATCCATCTATCCATTCGTCCGTCCGTTCGTCTGTCCATCCGTCCATCCATCCATCCATCCATCTATCCATCCATTCATTCATTCATCCATCCATCCATCCATCCATCCATTCATTCATTCATCCATCCATCCATCCATCCATCTATCTATCTATCCATCCATCCATCCATCCATCCTTCCTTCAAATAATCAATCCTCAAAGCTCGTTCATTCATTCAGAACCCTGACTACTAATTAAAAAAAATCATCCCGTCACAACTGTTTATGTTTCTGGTGAAAATGATGATGGTGGTGGTGACGATGATGATGGTGGTGGAGACGATAATGATAGTGATGGGAATGATGATGGTGATGATAATGGTGATGATGGTTATGACTGCCTAGGTAATGATGTTGATTAGGATAATGCTGTTGAGCTGATGAGAAACTACTGAGGAGTTGTTAGTAATGATTTTGAAAATGATGAAAAAATTGTCTTATGACGATTACATTTTCACTCATTGTTCTGGTAAAAATGTTTTCAATTACACACCAATTACACACCACATTAATTCAAATAATTAAACAATTCAAACCATTAAGCGATTTAAACAGTTAAACGAGTTAAAAAATTAAACGAGTTTAACAATGAAACAGCAGCCAGCCACGTACAAAAGTATAAACATACAGAAGATAGGAGCGTTGACAGGGCAAACTGACCCATCAATTCCACTCTACGTTATTGGCTCTCGGCTAATCAATAAATATTCCCATCTAGTCTAGCGAATGTAAAACAAACAGATTCAGATTTCAGTTCAATTAATTTCTTCCTAATTACAATTTTCATTATTCTTTTTTCTTCTTTGTGACGTTTTTAAAAGTTTTGTTCTCTAAAACCCGATGATGTTATACATGCTGATATTTTTATTTATTGATTTAAAAAGGATTTATATAGATTTGCGATTTTATATTTGAGTTAACTTTACGTTAATTGATTAAATTTGTAATATGATTGACTTTTCAAATATGAAATTTCGTATAATCAAAACAAACATGTAAAATAAAAAGAGCATACGCATTCATTCATACTTCTTTAATTTCAACAGTTATAGAGTACAGAATTATAGGGGATGTGATTGACAGTCGTAAAATGTTGGTGCAGTGAGCAAAAAACTTTCGATCGAATTGCCAAAATTTACCTACTTTTGTATCGGACTAAAACGAAGCACTCGTGAATTTTTTCGGCAACAACTTAAATTAAAATTTAAATTAATTGTTTATGAAGAGAAATATTGAACACGAAACAAAG